TCCACCAGCAGTCAGAGAGAGTTCTGCCTCCAAGAGGCCTCCTTTTGAGCCCGGAAGGGTGGTCAAACTAGCCAATCACAGCATCAGAACTCTAAGCATGTGAGAGAGAGTGGGAACCTCCCAGAACATTGTATTGTGCCACGCCCAACAGAAATAACCCAGGCAGGCGACTTTAAAATCAGGATCTCCTCAGTTGCTAATAGCAATTCCCACCTTGGAGTTTACAAAGACTTATGGGTAGAAAAGCCACACTAAGTAATTTACTACACTGCAAATGCTTAACCATTTGTGTCATCTAGGGACTCCACTCATTTGCTCTCTGTATTTCAAAACTATGTTGTTGGGGCCACGAAGGCTCACATCGTTTACATCTTTACAATGTTAGATAACAGCTTTCATGGATGGAAAATATCCTTATCTTTCCTGCTTATAACAAGTAGCCTTTGATTCTGTTTTGTCTGATGTTACTCCTTCCTTATCTTATTTTCAATGTCTTCATGAATCTATTTACTTATTTACTTTCATTGTGATGAAAACACACAACAAGACATTCACCAACACAACATGTTCCACAGTCACAGCTCAGGGGCATTGGTGACATTTTTCATGTTGGGCCACCATTATTGCTGTCCTTTTCCAAAATAATACCCCACCACCATTAGCATATGCAGTGCCCCGCAAACACAAGCTTCCCTTTCCCCTCCCTACCATCCCTGAGGAACACTAATAATCTTTGGCTTCTGCATTTGTTTATTTTATATTCGTGAGATCACACAGTATCTGTCCTTCTGTGACTTAACCATTTCATTCAGCATGATGTTTTCCAGGTTTATCCATGCTGCGGCGTCACAGATTTACTTTTACAATCAAAATAAAAGAGAAGACTGCAGATACATCTAGAAAAACTTACAAACCATGAAACATCTTAACCTACTCACGCTTATAAAAAACCCACTGCTGTGGAGTTGATTCCTACCCACAGCGCCCCTAGAGGACAGAGTGGAACTGCCCACAGGGTCTCCAAGGCTGTCAGTCTTCACAGAAGCAAAGCCCAAGCCACACCCACTGCCTGGAGTCTATTCTGACCCACAGTGCCCCTAGAGGACAGAGTGGAACAGCCCAGTGTGGTTTCCAAGGCTGTTAATCTTTGTGGAGGCAGATGGCCTGGTCTTTTGTCAAGTAGCTGGGGGGTTCAAGCAGCCAGACCATTTTATGAACAGCTGAGCACTTAACCACCGTGTCGTCAAGGCCCCCGACATACTGCAATACATAAACTGGAATATACTTGTTAAAATAGTCTTCTGGCTTGCAAGTAGGTCAAACATCTCCATTAATGTTGTTATTATCAGATAAAAAAAGAACCTGAAGTTTCACACGATTCATTGATAATCTATAGATACTTCCTGCTTATGATTTTTTTTCATTTGTTCCCAGAAATGGCGTTTGAGAACTCCTAGGTGGTGGCCAGAATTATGTAGGAGCTGACACGATGCAATTCGAAAACATCTCAATGTTCGTTATTGTTACTATCAAGGAGCTGATACTTAGAACTCACACCCATTCAGTCCTTGTTCTTTGCCACTGACTTGCTGTCCCCTAGACCTGGCCCGGAGAGTGGCCGAGGGAGGTGGGGGACTCGGGGGCCCGCTGGGAGCCTTGCCCCACCTGTGTGAGGAGGCAGCTGGCGTCAGGCCGTGGCCCTCGGCTTCAACGGGAACCACTTCTTTCTCCCCAGGGCGATTCCGGAGGCCCCTTGGTCTGTGACGTTGGTGGCGTCTGGGCTCAGGCAGGGGTGGTGAGCTGGGGGTCTGGCTGTGCCCTTCCCAAGAAGCCTGGGGTTTACATCAATGTCAGCGTCTACACCCCGTGGATTATGAACGCAGCTCCTCCCTCTGGAAACTTCTCTCCAAGTGCGGCCATGATCCTCTGCTCTGTTCTGTGGCTGCTCCCGGGACAGCTGGGGGACATCCCCCCTCTTTCCCTGGGGCTTGGCTAGTCTCACCCCCCACAGCCCCAACGCAGGCCCTTCCCTGCTCCCTGCCGCCCGCCCGATCCTCCCGGGACCCTCTCTGGCCCCTGTCTCCTGCGTCTTCTCCTCCTCGTCCACCCGCCTGAGGCCGAGTTCAGGTGCAGCCCCGCTTCAGGGATGGCTGGGGTTTCTGGCGCTCTTGGAACCACCGTTTGCAGCCCACAGCCTGGGTCTGTCTCTCTGCGCGTCTGTTTGTCTGGGGACAATAAAGCAGATCTGGCAGGGCCACTTTCCTCCTTCGGGGCCACAGCCTCCCTGGGGTAAGGCAGGCAGGAAGCGGTCTTGTTTATGGGTGTCCTTGGGTGCTCACAATAGCCCACACCATCACCCCCATTTCTCAGACCGGGACACTGAGGGCTGGGGGCTCCAGGCCCACTCTCCCCAGCAGCCTGTCTCTCGGGGAGGGGTGCCCATGGGCACGAGGGGCAGGAGAAGCAGCACCCCTGGACACCTTGCCGGGCCCTTGCCTGACCCAGCCAGCCGCTGAGGCCAAGGCCTTGGTGTCCTGGCTCCTGTCACCTGCCTGCTGCCTGTGCCTGGGACGCTGGTCAGCCCAGGTTGGGGGAGGAGTGGACGGGGCAGGGGATAGGCCTTGTAAGTCACTAGGAGGGCTGCGGGTCCGACCCAGAGTCGTGGTCAGATTTAAAGGCAAATTCTCAGGTTCAGCCGGGGCTGAGGTCAATCCTAGGGTCACTGGCAAGGCTAGAGTCAATCCCAAGGTCCTGGTAGGGACTGGGATGAGAGGCAAGGTTGGGGCTCAGACTCAGGTCATTGGCAGGCCTGGGGTCAGTCCCAGGGCTGTGGGCAGGGCTCAGGTCCGGCCTCTGCTCCCTGCGTTTACCCTCCAGACCTCACGGAGACACCCGGGAGCCCCCTCTCGTCCTGCCTGGCACCACGGAGGGTGTGGCCACAGCTGGAACCAAGGGCTAGGCTCCCACAGAGAGGACATGTGCGGTATCCTGCGTGTCCTACCGGGTCCCCTGCTTGGAGATGGCCTGACTCCATGCTAGGGAAGCCCTCCTTCCAGACCCCCTCACCACACCAGGCACAGCCAGCCAGGGCTCCCACCCAACAGGCTCACAGGGACCCAGGGATGCAGGACTTCCTGGTGTCTCTGTCTCCCTTTCTGCCCAGTAATAATGTCTGTCAAAAGCAGCTTCAAATTCCACCCAGCAGCAGAGGGAGGGGCCGGCCCTGCCGCCAGGGGGCAGCCTGGGCACGGGGACCAGAGGGTCTGGCTCAGGGAGGTGCCGCCTCAGGACCTCACCTTCCCACCAGGGGCCTGGAACCACCTTGTCTGTGCCAGCAGCCGGCACAGACGTAGGCCCCAAGGGCACCCACTAAGGACGTGCCCTTGGGCCAGCGATGGGGCCCCCAGCTGTGGGCAGGTCCTGGTCCTGGAAGAAGTAGCTGTGGAGGAAGGGGCGATGGGTGGGGTAGCCTGGGCCCCCGGGTCCCTGAGAAGAGAAAGAGGGGAGTCAGGGCCAGCCATTCCTGGGGGGCACCAAGGGCTGGGTCCCCAAACAGCCCTTGAGCCCAGGAAGGGCGGGCTGGGAGTGGGTGGCAGGCGCCCATTCCTCACCTCGCCCCCAGGGGGCGCCCCAGCGTGGCGGGAGAAGGAGGCGGCAGAGGGGGCGCCGGGAGGCGGGAGTGGAGGCCATGCGCGCGCTGCTGCTGTGGCTGCTGTGGTCCCGGGCCGGGCTCGCGGGGCTGGGCCAGCTCGGGCCGGATGTGGGGACCCAGGGGTCCACACCTTCTCAACTTCCCCCAACGGGGCCGGATGGCGACCTGGTGACCCCGACTGCAGGTAAGCGCCCGGGACGCACGCCTCGTGGCGCAGGGCCCCTGGGCTGGCGTGAGGGCCCCTCACCTTTCCTTTCCTTCCTTTCCCCCCAGATTCCGACGACAAGTGGAACGTGCTTACAAGTAGGTGGAGGGCCGGGGTCTTGGGGGCGTGGATCACGTGGGCGGGGGCGGGGGGTTCGCGTCTGCCTCCGCGAGCCCAGGGCGCCCTTTCTCTCTGTGTCCGGCGGCGGGCCTGGCCCTCGGCTCAGGCGCGTGTCCGTCTGTCCCCACCCAGCGCCCTGCGGCCACCGGAAGATCCCCACGCGCGTGGTGGGAGGCCGGGACGCGGAGCTGGGCAGCTGGCCGTGGCAGGGCAGTCTGCGCCTGTGGGGGAGCCACGTGTGCGGCGGGAGCTTGCTGAACCGCCGCTGGGTGCTCACGGCGGCCCACTGCTTTCAACAGTGAGTCTCGGGGCCCCAGGCCTGGCCGCGGGTCCCCCCTGAGTTCCCCTTGGTGCTGCAGAGGGCACCCTGTCGACGGCTTCCGGAATGTTCTTCCAGAGCATTCTCTTCACAGTCCTTTCAGTTTGGGACAAATGGCACTCCCATTCTTTTCCTTAGCGTTGCACCCCGGGCGCCTGAGCCGCAGGTTTGGGAGGCGGTCCCTGAGGGGAAGGGAGATGCTGGGCCCGTGGGTGGCTCCTCGGGAAAGCGGCTTTGACACATTGGGGTCCCCTGCAGCACTCCCCCAGTTTAGCTGTCCTAGGGGGCTCTTTGAGGCACACACTGAGTGACTGGCTGGGGCAGACACTGTGGAAGGCGCCCACCCTCGTGCTTGGTCTCCCCGAAGCCCCAGGCTCTGAAGTGGGTGTGGCCTCTCTGGGGACCCTGTGGGCCTGAAGAAGGACTCCCAGCGGGTGGCCTCTCAGACACAAGACAAACAAGTAGTGGCAAGCCCCAAGTTTTCCCTCCTGTCCTGTGGAGAGGTTCCTGGTGAGCTCCGATGCCTGGTGGCGAGGCCCCTGACCACGGCCTCCTCTTCCAGGGCCAGTGACCCCTTCCCGTGGAACGTCCAGTTTGGCGAGCTGACCGCCGCGCCGGCCATCTGGAACCTGCAGGCCTACCAGAACCGTTACCAAGTGGAGAGGATTGTGGTGAACCCCAGATTCCGGGGGTCAGCGCCCTATGACATCGCCCTGGTGAAGCTGTCTTCCTCTGTCACCTACAGGCAGCATATCCAGCCTATCTGTGTCGTCAACTCCACCAAGGAGTTCGACAACAGGACCGACTGCTGGGTGACCGGCTGGGGAGACATCCTTGAGGACACGTGTGAGCCCGGGGCACAGGCGGGGCTGGGGGCGGGCGCTGTCTGTCTGTCTGTGTTCGGTTGCTTTGGCCCTACGCTCCGACACTGTGCCCACCATGCCTGCCCGCTGACCTCCTCTTCCTCCACCTGCGTGGGCAGGGCCCTGCAGCGAGGCCTTGCCGTCCTCCACCGCGCAGCGTGGGTCCCTCCCTGTGCACACTGCGGCCAGGGGTCCCCCACTGGCTCAGGCGGGGGCCATCCTGCCACTTCCAGATCCGGAGACCATGTCTTGGGCGGAGCTGGCCCAGCACATTCACGCTTGGTTGCTCCACGGCCCCGTCCCAGGCCTGTGGGCGACCTGCCGCCTGCCTTGCGGTCAGAGTCTCAGCTGACTTCTCTCTCTGTTCCCTGCCCCCCAACAGCGCTGGAGCCCCCCTACAACCTCCAGGAAGTACAAATCGCCATCATCAATAGGACCATGTGTAACCACCTGTACCAGAAACCCGATGTCCGCCATACCATCTTTGGAGACATGGTTTGCGCTGGCGATGCAGCAGGTGGCAAAGACGCCTGCTTTGTGAGTGGCCCCCCATCCCCACCAGGGCCTCTGGGCCCTGACATCCCACCCCCCCTTCCCTGGCCCCACCCCCGCTCCGGAGTTACAGGAACCACTTGAGCCCTTACTGCCCCACTGTGAGCCACCTGCCCCCGGTCTCCCATGAACTGCACCACACACCAGCCCCCGGGGGTTTGGACCGTTGCCCCACTTTGCACATGCACAGTCCCGTGCCCTCGGGCCTCTCCCCTGGTCCTGCACCACCCTGTGGCTCCCCCACCCGGACTCACACCCGTTGCTCCCCAGGGTGACTCGGGCGGCCCCTTGGTTTGTGAAGTGAGCAGCGTGTGGTACCAGGTCGGAGTCGTGAGCTGGGGCGTGGGCTGCGGCCGCCCGAACCGGCCCGGCGTCTACACCAACGTCAGTGAGCACTTCCGGTGGATCCAGCAGGTGATGGCCTGTGGTCCCCATGGGACAGACGCCTCCTCACTGCTGTTCCTCCTGGCTCTGCTCTGGGCGCCCCTCCTGCTGTGGCCGGCCTGAGCCCGCGGAGCCCCGGTGTGGGGGCCCCGGAGTGGGCCCAGCTCCAGACCTTCCCAGAGAAGAGTTTGGACAGATAGCAATAAATACGGAGAAAGTCCTGCCGAGTTGGCCTGTCTCTCTGTCCCCTTTGCCAATACAGCTGATGCCTTGACGGCTTCCTCCTCCTCCCTCCAAGTCCACCCAGCCAGGCCTGCTCCCCCCAGCCAAGTCTTAGTCCCTAACTGCATTTTTGGGTTTAGATGCTGATCGCAGACCTCTCTGGTCAGAAAGGTCATTTGTGGGAGGAGATTAGCAGTGTCAGGCTCTCTGCGGGGCTGGGAGGACTTGAGGGGCCGTGGGGGGAGCGCTCCAGGACCCCCAGCTCTCAGAGGCCCACAAGCACAGATGCCCAGGTCTGACCAGAGTTCCCCCAAAGGTAGCCCTGGGCTAGGTGGGGTGTGGGTGGTTTACTGAGGTTGATGTCAGGAAGCAATGGGACGGAGGGAGATGTGAGGAGGGGAGAAACGGAGTTTTTGTGAGTGAGGGTCACCGGGAAGTGCGTGAGGTACAGTTTGCAGGGCTCTGAGAAGCCCAGTGTAGGCCAGGACTGAGCCAGGGGGCGGCTGGGGCGGCTGCTGGGGTGGGGTGGGCTGCAGGGCCCCTCATTTGCCCTCCCCTTTCTCTCCTCTGCCTGGGCATTGCACCCCAGAGCCAGGTAGGGCAGGTGTGGAGCGGGGTGAGACCCACTGTTGCCCCCTGTAGAGAGTGGACACGGATGCGGGTGGTCTTGTCTCGAGACGGGGCTTTCTGGCCCCTGGGACCCACATGTGCAGTTCCGCCAGCTCCCCCTGCCACAGGGCACTTTTAGACTAAACACGGATTTATTGCTTGTGTGAAGTTCAATTTATTTTGTAATAATTTCTCTTTGTTGTTACTGAAAATACACACAATAGAACCTACCTCTTTTCAGCCGTTTCTCCATGTGTGATTCGGCGACTTTCATTTCCTTCTTCAAACTTGCAGCCATTCTCACCCTCCTTTTCTCCGTTGTCTTACCCTTTAACTCACTGCCCCCAGAATTTCCTCTAATCTTTTGAGCTGCTGTTGTCACATAGATAAGTCTTTCGAAATCAAGAATGTCAAGGCAGACGGTCTTTACTAGCTCAGCTAAACTGCTATTCGGTTTTAAGACTTCAGGGGATATTTGGGTTTAGTATTTGAAGATTATTTTAGGACATAGTTTCAGATGTTTATCCAGCCTCCATGGCTCCAGACAGTCTGGATTCCGTGAGCATTGAAGTTCTGTTCTGCATTTCCCCCCTTTTGATCAAACACTTCCTTAGACTCTTTGATCAAAATGTTCAGTAGTGGTATCTGAGCACTATCCGGTTCTGGTCTCATGGTGAAGCGGGCAATTGTTCACGGAGGGAGTTAGCCTGAAGTTCACATTTATCTCAGTTTCCTGCACTTTGCTGGGCTCAGCCTGGCAGCCCAGCACCCAGTTCTCCTTGGGACTCCCTCCACTCTGCATGGGTTCGCCTTCTATAATTTTAGGGGTTTTTCCAGCATCTTTGAGCCTGCTCCCACCTCGACTGTCCCCACTCCAAGAATCACACCACAGGCCTTTGAGAAACTTTATCCACTGCACGGTGGTATCCCTGTGTTCCAGTCCCACACTTGATGTCAGCCACAGGCCACTTTCCTGCCTTCTTGGCTGCAGGCTGCTGGGTCCCCCCAACTCCCCCAAGAGGCCTTCTCTGGGCACAAGTGTGCCCGTCCCGATGCCCATGTCTGTCGGCACAATGGGTCCACAGATCGTGGAGTGACTGCTCTAGATGGCAGGTGTGCCTCAGCAATGCCCCTGGACAGTGGGGGACAAGTGAGTGAGTGAGTGGAGGGGACCCACCTGTGTCTCTCAACCACCTCCCAGCCCCCTGGTGTCTATCCTGGGAGAAGCTGAAGGGTTTGTGGCTGGAGCTGGGATGCATAGGCCCTGAGGCTGCCCCCATGAACCAACAGATAAACAACAGGGAACACCGATTGACCCTGGGGCAACTCCGAGTGAGTTTTCAGTCACGAAGGTGGGACCTGTCTGAGCCCACCTCCCGGGTCCTCTCAGGCTACAATAACCTGAGAATGAAATTCTTCCATTGTATTACCAGTGCAGTAGTGTCTCCTAAAAATATACACGGAAGTCCCAACCCTTCACTTGTAAATTGGGATTCTGTTTTGTTATGTTAATAAAGCCATGTTAGAGTAGGGTGTGTCCTGAACCTGATCCCTTCTGAGTGGTAAATACTTAAAGGAGCAGGGCTTCCGACCAGTTCAAAACAAGGGCCAGTACTTGTTGCATAACAACCAAATCTGTTGGCTGTGCTGTTTTGATCTTGGAAACAGCTGTGTCTCGCTTAAAGATGGCGGCTGGCCACACCACTTTGAATGTGTGCTGCCGCAGCCCTTCCTCCTTAAAGTTTCAGCGGCCCGATGCAGGAGGCTGGATTACCGGCAGGCCTCTGGCGAGCAACACACGTTCAGAGTGGTGCTGTTGGCCGCCATCTTTGAGCCGGGCACAACTTTGTTTCCTACTTGGATCAAAATACCATCGCAACAGATTTGGTTGCTATGAAATGTGTGTGTGGCCCTTGTTTACAATGGCAATTACAGAACCAAACCAGGGTGAATTCCTGAGCCAGACATACACATGGTGGGGAAGGGGTATTTACAAGCAGCCAAGGACGGGATGCCTGTGGCTCCCGACATGGAAGGACCCTTGCCTAGAGTTGATGCCCTGATTGGACTCCAAACCTCCCAAGGAACCTTGGTGGCAAAAAGGTTGAATAAATACTCAAATGCTAACTGAAAGTTTGGTGGCTCAGGTCTACCCAGCGGCTCCTATAAAGAAAACCCTATGGGGCAGATACATGGGGTCACTCTGGGTCCACAGTCAGTGCACAGCAGCCACCACCTCTCAACTGTGAGGCTGTAGTTCTCAGAGTCCTCGAAGCCACTCACTTGTGGTGTTTTGTGCCCATAGAACTAAGACCCCCAGCCACCTGAGATGTGCCTTCTGTCCCACACCCATGGGGCACCATGACCCAGGATGTGGAAGATGGGACAGCTAGCTGTGTTGGGATTTTTTGTTTTTCTTTATCAAACAGTGAAGCTTTATTGTAGAAAACTTATGAAATAAAGATAAGCAAAAAGAAAGCCAAAAGCCTGAGGTGTCCTAAGCTCCCGTGCCAGCGGCAGACATCACTGGCCTTGGGGGTTTAGTTCTCACCTCAGCTCTGGTTGGCAGCAGCTGTCCCTGGTGTGACGCATTCATCCGTATGGTCACTGATGGGCCCAGGTCCCCACAAGGGACGGATACTGGAAACGGTCCTGTAAGGGGAGCTTCAGTGCTGTCCCCTTGGGTCATCCTGGGGTCCCCTGCAAGTTGGGGGCTGGGACTTCCCTGCCTCCGGGTCCCGGGCCGTTCAAGCCTGTGTGTCCCTCTCAGACTGCCCTGGGGTGTCCCCTTCATCTCCGACACCCTGGAGTTCCTGGCCATCAGCCACTTCTGTTCTTGGGGAACAGCCCCGCTGAGGGGGAGTGGGAGGGCCCAGGGAGCAATGCCACAGTCATGTGACCACCCTCTCCCTGCCCTTGGCCTGCAGCCCTTCCAATCTCGGCACCCACCCCTGCCCCTCAGACACGTGCTCACATGCATACACACATACACAAACAGACACACTTGGACACACAAATACACACCCATATGCACACACACATAGGTGCATACCCACATATGGGCACGTATATGCACACACATACATGTACACAGACACGTGTACACACACCCTCATGTGTCCTTCTCCAGTGGCTCTGACTGGGGCCCTGGAATGTAACCTGAGCCCCATCTATGGATGTTTTCCTGAGAGACAACACGGTCCCTCCCGGGGAGTCCTGGTCCAAGAAAATCTAAAGTCCTGTGTAAACATTTCCAATGTTCCCAACCGTCATGGAGATGTGCCCAGGAGGAGGGGGAGAGGCCCAGGAGGGGCGGTGTCATCACCCCGACAGGTCAGGAGTCCAGACTTGGCTCCCATCCTGGGCCTTTGTGGGACGTGGTGGGTGGGGCTGCCTGGCATTTAGGGGCCGCCCCTGTTTGTGGACCTCGAGGTCCACTGGACTTTTCTAAACAGGTCACTGGGAACAATGTTTGACGAGATCTTTGTACACACACTCAAGTAGTTTCTTGGAATCACTTCTTTAAAGTGAGGTTACTGGGCCAGCAGGTTTGCATGTTTGATATGGGTGGTGGGACATGTTTCAGTGTGTGCTCTGGAGGCAGCGTGTGAGACACTCAAGGTCAAGTTTGTGGGCATGGGGCTCTTTCTCACACACACGCATACTCATATATGCATACACACAAACATGTACACATACATGCACGTGTACACTTACACACATACAAACATACAAACATGTGAACACACATAAGAAACATACACATGCATGCACAAACACGCACATATGCATACAATGTATGCAGGAGCACATGGAATAATACATATGCAAACACACGTACACATACACATATAAACACACATACAACATATATGTAGACACAAAAGCACACACATACATGCATACACAGAGACATACACATACATACATGCAGAGACACACATATACACATGGATGCATACATACACATACACATACACACACACAAACACACATGCACACACAGGGACACGTGTGCTTGTGTCTGTGGCCTCTGGAATGTGACCTGAGCCCTGCCCTCCAGTATTTTCCACAGGAAACAACGCTGCCCTGCCGCTGCGGCTTTGCCTCTTCTTCCTGGTCGGGGGATAGGCTGTCGGGAGCCTGAGTCTCTTAGTCGTGGTCCCTGCATTTCCCACCACCCTGCCCACCGGCGTCCGGCCAGCCCCGGGGACATTGTGACCTCCATGGAAAGACCAGCCCCGGGGACCTTGTGATCTCCATGGAAAGACTCGGATTCCTCTCTCCTCAGGTCCCGGAGGCTGCCAAGCAGCCCACTATTGGAGCTGGACCTCGTGGGGGGCGTCCAGGCCTGGGGTGGGGGCGGAGGTGGAGGTCTCCTCCCAGCCCCCACAGGCAGACTCTGGCGGGAGGCACGTGGGGGTCTGTGATGTCTGTGCTGACTGCCCAGCTCCGCCCCCCGCCTGGGGCCCAGCCCCCTCCCTGCGGATCCTGGAGCCCTGGTGAGCAGGATGCTGAGATAAGTCATCTGAAAGGTCTCCTTGTCCTGGCCTGGGGGTGCAGGGCCCGGACTTGGGCTCAAAGTTGGGCCTGGAGGGGTTCCCTGTGCCCTATAAAAGCCCAGGTTGAGGGCCCTGCACATGCCTGCAGGACAAGAGGGTCCAGGGAACTGCAGCCACCCAGAGACGGCTCAGAGCTGAGGCTGAGGTGAGCAGAAGGGCCTGGCAGGGAGCGAGAGCGGGGATCCACTCACTCTCCACCCGTCCGTCCTGCGTGGGGCACCCACCCCTGCACCCAACCCGTCCTCCTGCCTGGGGTGCTCACCCCTGCACCCGTCCCGCCCTGCGTGGGCGCCCACCCCTCCACCCCTCCCGTCCTCCAGCCTGGGGTGCTCACCCCTGCACCTGTCCCGCCCTGCGTGGGGCACCCACCTGTGTTTTGCCTCTTTTTCCAGATGCTGCTGTCCTTGCTGTCCTTGGCCCTTCTCGTGGGCTCCGCGTGCAGCACCCAGAGTAGGTCCTGCTCCAGGTGTGGCAGGGCCTCTGGGCCTTGGGGGTGCACAGCCCCGGCCCTGTGTTCCCCCAGCCCCCCGCCTGCACCAACCCCTCCATCTAGTGAGGGGTGGGCGCTGTCTCCTGCGGCCTTAACGGTCATCCCCGAGCAGGTCATCTGCCACTCTGGCCCCATTTGCAGATGAAGAAACAGACCCAGCGGATGGAGCCAGACCACAAAGTGTCGACAGGAGCCCATCCCAGCTGCCCACCCACAGCCGGCTCAGCCATTGTCCTACAGGGGTGTGCGGGTCCCTGGCCACTTGGGGGTGGCCCCAGGAGTGATCACGGGGCCACTTCTTATGGAGGGGACCCTCCAGACCTGGGCCCCTTCACCTTTTTGAGCCTCAGCTCCTGCCTCTATAACGGGGATAAGACACCCCTCAGAGGACGTGGGAGGAGGAGGAGAGGAGGGGACATCCTTGCTGACACAGAGGCCCCCCAGTAAATGACAGTTACTGTGTTCTATCACCTCCAATCTCCAGGCCAACCAGGGCAGCCAGCAGGCCCCCAGGTGATGCTGGGGGAGCCCCTGTCACCCGCAGCTCCCTCTCTCTGCCTTCCCGGGTCACTGCCTCCAGGGACCGTAGGGCCAGAGTCACCGCCTAACATGGCCCTTCCCCTTGACACAAGTTTCCCACGGAAACATGGGGAGAGTGGGCTGGAGGCTCAGTGGAAATTCCTGGGGTTGCAGGGACAAGGGGCAGCCGGAGGGCCAGTGGTTTAGACCCGCAGGGTTACCGGAGGGGGCCACATACTGGATTCTTCCGTCTGGCAGACTCAGAGCCCCAGCCACATGGGAGGCCCCCCAAAATGTGAAAGCCTTTGTGAACATGACCTGGGGCCAACAACGTCTCATATGTGGATGTAGAGAAAAATCTGAACTGAATTCCACGACCCTGTGGTGTAATGCTTTCAGTTTAGTTACGTGGGGTGAGGGGGCAAGTCTTTTGGTGTTTTTGGAGGGAACGCCCCCCCACCGCCATGAGAGTGGAGACCTGGAGCCCTCCGGTCCCCACAGGTCAGACCCAGTAGCTGCCGCCCACATGCTCCAGTCTCCTCTGTCAGCGTCCTGGGGCTGCCCTGACCAAACTGGGGGGATGGAGGGAACAGGAACGGGGTCACTCACCACTCTGGAGGCGGAGTCCAAAGTCCTTTGGGAGCTTCTGTGGGGAGCCCCCTCCATTCTTCCAGCTTCTGGTGGGTCCTGGCGGGTGTGGG